CTGCCGCGTTCACTGCTCATTGCGCCTGCTAGATATTCGACCTAACTCTACCCTCTGTTCACCGTGTTCAAAGCATGATTCTATACTGCCGAGCCGCGACTGCACGACAACCTTTACAACGGCCAAATGGCTGACAAACCGTTTGAAGATTTGAACTACGGCTACCCTGGCACTGCTAGTTATGATCTAGAGAACAGCGAGTGGCTGTTTGGAAGACAGTACACAACCAAGAATTTCAGGCAAATTCGCACCTCGGATGGCCTGCGCCTTGCAAATACGCTTGCGACAACACCGGTCCAGCTTGTTCATCCCCAGACCTCTGCGAACAAGACAAGTACGCAAGAAGAAGTCAGAAACCTAGTACAGGACATACCCGAACTTGCGGCTGCAGCTGCGCTACTTCCTGATTTAGGTCTTGTCTCTGCCGCGATCTCAAAAACAACTTCCGTTTACGATCCTCTTGTTGGTAGCTTGCTGTCCTTCGGCTCCATTACCCTCGGAGACAGATATGAAAACGCACGCCAGGTCGCGGCGCTCCCCGTGGGAGAAGCTGGGAATATACTTCAGTTGGCGGTATTGAACAAAGAAAGGCTGGGATGGGGTATGATTAGAAAAACATGGATAGATGGATCGACTCTGAGGGAGGCCGAGAAAGAATACTGGAACGAGGACGCTGCGCCTATACAGCAGATCTGCTTCTCTCAGTCGGAGGACCGGAGCTCTCTGCTCGCCGTGCGACTTCCTACGCGCACAGTTCTCTTCCACCCCATATGTTTCCGCCAGGCTCGCCCAAACAGATTTTCGCCTTTCTACGATCTTCCTGCATCGACGATCGATATCCGCCCCATCTTCAGCATAGACAAGGAAAGCACTGGCGGGTTTGCCCATTGCCATGTAGCGTTCAATCCGAGCTTCCAGTCACAATTTGCCATTGTCGATCAGAGCGCAACTTGGAGTGTATGGGAGATTGGTCGTTCGCGCAAGAGTGAAGAATACACCCCTTCATGTCTTGTTCGCGGGCGGATCACTAGCTCGGAACCTGAGGATGTGCGTGGTGAAGATGGATGGGCGAGAGTGTTCTGGGTGGCCGACGTCAATACGTTGCTGGTCTGCAATAGACGCCATTTGAGCATTGTCAGTCTAAAAGGAGGGGAACCGAAGCACCTAGCCTGCCCGACATTTCTCAATCAGCAATCCGCAGAGTGGTTCTTGGACGCCAAGCTTCATCCAAAACATTCGAACCAGGTCTTCATTTTGACCTCTACCCACCTCATCCTGGTGCTAGTCAACAGTTCGGTTGAAGAAAGTGCTTCGGCGGAAGATTCAGTGACGACGGTATTGGCATCATGGACACACTTTCGAGATGCAGATGATTTTACCCTTCAGATAACTGTACAAATGCTGTCAGAAGATGGTAAGTCGTGAATTACTCAGTCTATGACCAGGCTTGCTAACATGAACAGAATCCTGCCTTGTACTTTATTCGCAGTTGGACAATCTCATTCAGGTGTACGCCTTTGCGGAGCACCCTGTAGGCGGTTCCTCTATGGTGACGTGTTCTGATCCTGGTATACTGGAATTGGCCATGGACGGGTCAGGCCGGATTGCCGATTTATACATGGAGCCCATGCAACAGGGTGGAATCAGAATGGATACAGATTTCTTTCGGTTGTTCGTGGTACTGTCTACCTCCAGTATCCATGAGCTCGTCATTTATACTGCGAAGTCATCGACTCAAGAGCCATTCAGTACCAGTGAGGTCATCGAAGACTTCACACGCAGTATGATAAGACACCCTAGAGTCGGCATTTCCAAGACGGAAGTGGTGAATAAGGAGGACGAGATGATAGTCCCAGATGGTCTGGATGTTCTGGACGTACACAGCTCCAAGACTCCATCAAGGATCTTGAAACCAGACCAGGTCTTCGAGGACACTCCCGTGCAGACCACTCGTAACAACGAGCTCCTATACGAGGCCCTTCAGTACGCGGAAAATCCTGGAAGCAAATTACAAGATTCTTTGGATGTCACAGCGGTTCTGGGCGAGGTGAAGCAAATGCTTGCCGACGATCCTGACTCTGTGCCGTTGCCAATTGGTACGTTGATGGAGTACGCCGACACGAAGCTTCAAATTCCGAACGTGGACGAGGCATCTTCGAACCTCCAGGATTTATTTGTCGAAAACGAAGAAAATGCCTTATTTCTTCAGCGAATCGCGTCGGCGCAGACACTTGGCTTGGCTGAGGAGGACAACGATCTCACCATCTCCGATATTTACGATACCCTGTTGGAAATGTGGGTCGCACCGCTACCACCGACGGTACCTAGCCGTGTCCGACAGTCCAAGGAGCAGCTTGCCCGAGGTATTGCCGCTGAGGTCATATTCTCCAGCCTACGTATACGAGAACATGAGCTAGAGGCTGCGATGACGGACTCACGTCTGGGCCCAAGCCAGGACCGGGGCATCGCGCTACCCATTCTGCCATCGCGACCGAGGAACGGCGATTTCCATTTTCCATCGCAATTCTCTCTCGCTCAACAACTTCCAACACCTCCGCAGTCTTCTGTGCCCCCATCGTCCTTACCAGGTTCATCACCACCTGTAGTGCCTTTCACGCAGAATGTTCCACAAGATCCTTTGGCGCGACTAAGCAAGCATCTGCGCAATAGAAACTCTTCCAAGGACTCAGTGGGTATTGGTGCAAACGCATCTCGGATTCTCAGACAATGGCAAGTTGGAGGTGATCCAAATAGTTACGATTGGAGCGTCATCGATCAGCCCGAGGACATGGATGAGGAAAGCCAAAGGCAACGCGAGAAGGAGCGTAGAGCCAAGGAGCGCAGGGAAAGACGTCAGCAACGCGAAGATGAGTTGGCAAGGGCTAAGACTGCAAGTCAGCCCCTAATGTTTCCAAGAAGCTCTCCCGGACCCATGTTGAGTGACATGGCCAACAGCAGTCAAATACCGATGCAGAGTCAGATCCTGAGTCAAGAGCCAATCTCTAACTCAGGATTCATAGCACCACAGAGTCAAATTGAGCCAGGCAAGTTTGGTGGAAGGTTGGACAAGAACAAAAAGAAGAAGAAGAAACGACTGGGTGGCTTTTGAGTTGGATTTGCGCGGAGGGCCGTTGATATTCTGGTATTGTAGCATGTAACTAGGCTATCAGCCCAAAATCACTACCAATGTGTTACCCCCACTACTGATCTATTCCAAGAATCTATCCCTTTAGTATTACACTCATCTTAACCTAACTATTATGTAACCCTAAGATATAGTTTGCATACTCCTGTCGGCTTGTTGCTACTCACTGTCACAGTTTAAGGAACCCCGTATGACTTGTTCAATCATATTAAGAATGTCTGACCGGGTACCTATCAGCTGGGCTGCAACCGGTCTAAAGAGTTTGGGTGGTATAGTAAATTTCCTAGGATTGCATAATCATAGGATTGCTTTATGAAAAGAGAAGCGAAGCGGGTGACAGGGAATTGACTCAGATTATGGGAACGAGTCAAGCAACGGCCTATCGGAGTAGAAGGCACGGCATCTTGATACTAGCCATACGTTTTACAGCTTCTATATATGTATTATCACGGCAAAAGGAGCTGTTTACTACCAATGTTCAACGATTCTAGGTCATCGATTCATTGAAGCTTAGCTGGTTGAGGTTGTAAGCCCCAGAGCAACATACCGTGGTCATATCCGTTAGTATCCGAGGTTCCGCTGGCCTCCACGAAGGTGGCATGTAGACTTAATGATGTCATTGGACACGGAAGGAAGGAAATATGCTCCTCCTTTTCATACAGCCGAGAAAGTGGGGTTGGAGGGGTAGCTTCCGCATCCATGCATTCAAGCTTATGCTTCGGCTGCACTAATAAGTCCTTCTTCCGCTTCTTCAATACTTCGCTACAATCCTGATCTAATCTAATACACCACTGTTACATGTTAGCTGTTTTCTGAGCCAAAATATCGTTATCCAATTTCCAATTATTCCGAGATGTCAGGCTTTCCATCTCTCCAACCAGCCTTTACGGTCCGCGTCGAAATCGATGCACCGATGCAGGTTGGTGGCCAGTCAGGGCCCCAATTAGCCATTGTGCCCATGACAAGTGGCACTGTGAAGAGTGAAGAAGGCTTCGAGCCTAAACTCGACGGGGTACTACATGGTGTGGGATATGACTACATTCACAACGATGCCGATGGTGCGAACATGAGGCTCGATGTGAGGAGCCAGGTCAAGTACGTCTTGTAATATCATTTCTCAAAGAGAGGCAGTGGTTAATAAATCATGTACAGGAATCACGATGGCACCGTTCTTGCAATGTACTACAAGGGAACTGTCAAGCTTACTCCAAGCATTGGTGCTATCTTGACCGGCGCTCCAGATGCAAAGACCACAGAGTACGGCGATTCATTTGTCAGTTTCTCATTCGAGACCGGTAACCCCAAGTATGCTGAGCTGCAGAACGGAACATATGTTGCTGCTGGTCATTTTGTCAAAGAGGCAGGGAAACCCGGAACCATTGTAGAATACAAGGTTAGCAAGGTTGTGTATAAGGCGTGAAGCATCTAGCGCTGCTAGAGGACTTCAACTGTACCCCTCAGAATAATGAATAGAAAACCACACAAGTCCTATATCATCACTCACGCAAAATCACATCAAGTATAAGATACGCCAATTGCGGCATCCATCTTGGCATCGTTGTCAGTGTTGTCATCGCCGCCTTGTTTGTTTGCTCGCTCCTTCCCCACTTTTGACTGGCACGCAAACACTCTTCACCTTCATCTCAAATTGACAAAATTTGACTTGTTTCCCGACCTTGGTTTGACGCATCTGACTTGAGCCTCTACACCAAAGCCGTTTACTTTTATTCTGGACTTTCAAAATTGAGACCTGCCATTTACAGTATAAGTGGGTATACATGCATCGTCAGTTATAGCTTGCTTGGATTGGCATATGCTAACAAAAATATCTACTAGGCATCCGAGACTCGCATCAATGAGTGTAGCTAGCCCAAACAACAAGAAGCCTCGCAAAAAGTATGTCTTGGGTGACTTTGTCAAATATGCTACTGGCATATTTGCGGCTCACTTCGTCGCCATCTCCGACATGGGTCTCTACGAATTCGCAGAGAAGCAATACATAGACGAAAATCAGCAATGCAATACCTGTCACATGATTATGGTAGGCCACTACCATCGAAAGAGCAGTGGCCTACCCGTCTGGGCTGAATCTACAGGCGAAGAAATATGGTACTACAAATGGACTGGTTGTCGAGTAGAGCCGCTCAGTCGGGGTATCCAGTCCGGCAAGGTCTACTACGATCCGCCGTTCAGCTACATTGGCGGTATAATCAGCGATCGTGATACTGGACGCGGTATGACGCAGGAACGAAAATTCCAGCGAGCAGTGGTTGAATCTGTCATTCACTTCATCTTCCTCGCGACCGGGAGATTGAATCAAACCTCGGATATCACAAACCCGGATTTGCTTGGTCATTTCAAGCTTGCCCTCAAAAATCTTTTGCAGAATCGGGAAGCTCACGAAGCGACTAACCGTACGCCAACCCAGAGACTCCCAACACACGTTGAAGAGACACCTATCGCCAACAACGAGGCGCTTCCTTCCAAAGTTAGCGAGACAAGGCACAAGAATTCTATATCTGATATCATACAACGGCCTCTACCGCCTATCTTTACGGCTTCACTGGATCGTAGAGTTATCGATTTAACGCGTGATGTTTCTGGATCTTCGTCTCAAGGTAAGCGAATTGGAGCATGCTTCTGATTGACTAGTAGCTGAAATTATGAGGTAGCACCTAATGAATGCGTACTTCTCGAGCAACAAGTGCGAGATCTCAAAGCGAAGCTCGAAGAACAAGAGGCAATGACAAATGCACTTGAAGCGAGGCTAGTTCGAGAGAAAGCCAGACGGCAGAGATTGCGAAATCAGCGCGAAAGATGGACTATAAAGAGGCAAGCTTTGAAGGCGAAGATTTCCGCAAAAGGACAGCGACTAGCAGAGTGGAAAGCGACCGCGCGTGAGCATCAGCTTCAAATCGCGGCGGTGACGGAAGAGCTCGCGCGTGAGAAAGAAGAGCTTAGGTGCGAGAAGAAAGCGAGGATGTTCTGGCAGCACAAGCACAACAGCTTGCCAAGAATGCTGCTCGAACGTAGCCGACTTGCTGCTACTTCAGGGTCTCCAAATGGTCAGGAGTCAAGTGTGGCAATGGTCAAGACACAAGGTGTAGGAGGCTCATTCGGTTCCGCCCATTCTCGACCGTTGTGAATACACCTTTTCAGGCAGGCCCCGAGGAGCTGGCAGTTAGGGTACCATGTTGTATATGTGTGCAGGCTGCATTGTATGTTCCAGCCAAGAGTTGGCATATACGCAGATAGGTAGTGCTGTACTAGGAAGGATGTCTTGTCTAAACAGTAGTATACAATCACATAAGTAGTATAGATTTCTCCCCCCGATTAAAACACATGTAAAAAAACTGAACCAGTCTCTGACATCAAATATTATACATACGTCAAGAGTACAGCCACACATGTCATATATCTCTCCTACTAAATCCCGGCTACCGAACCCGAGCCACACACACACGCACACACACACACACACACCCTCTCTCTGCTCCAACTCGTCTCCTCAGCCCTACTAGTCTCTCTTTCCTTTTTTTCCCTCCCAAACTCCCTAACACTAACATTCTCTCTCTCTCTCTCTCATCTCGCAAGATCCGCACTCACAAAAACCAAATACACACGTCACTTTTTCCGAAGAAAAATAAAATAAAGATTTCCAAGTTTAGTGCTTTGTGGCTTCTCCCAACCTGCCACCCACATATACACCGTTCGCCAAGTTTCGCCGCTTTCTTGCTTGCTTTTATTTTTGGGGGGGGAGGGGAGAGGGAGGGAGCTGCTGCTGCTGCTGCTACTGCTAGGAATAGGTTAGTAAGGTGTGATAGACGGTCGTCGCTTACCAGCGTAGGACGTATCCCCCCTCAGTCTGCAGGGTGTGCAAGCGTGGAAAGGTGTGTTCCAAAAAAAACGTCAGCCACCATCGAAAAGCTAGATGCGAGATGGAGTGGCGGAAACGTCGTCATCTTTGCCGAATTGCGGTTGCGATGGTGATCGAGGAAGAAGGAGGGGGAGGAAGGTTAAGGGTTGGGATGATTGCATGGAAAATCCGAGCTAGGAGTGTGAAGTGGGTGTGGGTGCGAAGCAGTGAACGCCATGGTGCCTGGACTTATTCTTTGGTGTGCATACTACTTTTACATGGAACCGTTTGCTTTTCAGGTACGCTCGCACGCGAAAGGAAAAAAAAGGAATGGTAGTCAGGACATCGGTGCAGTGCACACACACACATGTCCTCATCCGCCGCTTTGAAAATTCCCAATCGTCCGTCTATCAACAACACACGTCCCGAGCTTTTACATATCTCTTTGCTCATTTTTTGCAAATCATACGAGATGGGGGGGGGGATTATCATCATTATCGAGATTCGAGAATCATCAATCAGTCAAATCAATCCCGCGTGCGCACCAACCATCCAACCCCCACACCCCCTGAACCGGTGGCTTCCGATGTCGTGAGTACCTAAACGTTTTCTGGTGCCCCTTACCCGCCTGCCAGGCGGCCGACCCCTCCCGCTCCCATACGTATGCGTATCCGTGGGGAGAGAGGTTTTTGGCAGCGGCCGTTAGTCGGGCGGCGGCTTTTTGCTAGCGCTACTACTCTAGTGTGGGAGGGAATGGCCTCATAAAGTTTGTTTTTTTCTTGTGCACCGTAGCGCTACACCTACTAATTGCGGACATAAGCGGGTAGTGAGCAAAAGCAAATCAGGGCTGCACAAGGGGGCTTGTTAACCAAACTTGGTAGCGATTGCAGTAATCGTGGGCCTGATGATCTCCAAGCCCTCGAGTTGCCCATGCATTATCGATGCATTGGTGAGACCATGTTGGAGAGAGCGATGAGTATGGAGGGCTGATTGGTAGATTGGGACTATCGTGCTTAACGCGTGGGTAACCAATGAGATTGCTTGCGTCCATCTCCGTGGAGAACGGGAGAAACAGCACATATGTGACTAGATACGATCGCAGCAAATCGAGAGTCGTATACACGCTGTACGACGTAATGCTGATACATCAGTGTGCATCAATGTGAAGTGGAATGGTTGAGACCGGGGTATTCTTAGTCGTATTATACATTGTTGCAGCTAGGGGCTGACGAGCGAATTCAGACTCATGCCCGAAACTTTATAATTATAAGCGCGATGAAAGGAGTATAAGTCGTACAGATGGTGAGGCAGCCTCGTCGTCATTCAAGGTCGTAATGCGCACTATGCAAGTGTAGATATGCATAAGCAACAAAAGAAAAAGGGTCGCTAAATCGAATCTTGTAGGAGAAAGATGCCAATGACGCCAGCGGGCGTAAAGTGGATGTAGTATTGAGGGTCGCAATCCAGAGAGTATGGGCTGTCGAGTATGTCGGGGGCGCAGGGCTCGTTGCGAGCGATCGTCGAAAAAGATAAACGCAACTTCCACATGTCTGATCGAACGATGTCGAACAAGCATAGGGACCAATAAGATCACATGATACCCCTCAATCCGCGAAAGCCTCCAGTTTTGGCCGAAGAAGAAGGCTTCCTCTGGTCCTTGTCTTTGACCTTCTTTCCAATGTTTTGGGCGCCTCCTGCTTCTGAATCAGCTTGCCATCGTGTAAAAAGAGGGCACAAATAACTAACCTCGACCATATACCCGAACCTCCGATTTGGCTTCGACCTTGTCTTTCTTGTCTCTGCCTGAGCTACCGTCTGTGTCGACAGAGAAGCTACTCTTTCCGCTCGAATGGGGTTGCTGAGATTGTAGTTGACCGCTAGAAGAAGCATCGTGATTGCCAGCATAGTCCGGCCCATAGCCACCGCCGAAGCCGGGATAAGGCGATGGGGCTGTTTGAGAGGTCTGCGTTGTCCCAAAAGGCGTAGATCCAAACCTAGCAGAATAATCAGGCATGGTGCCTGACACGGGGCTTTGTGCCGACTCTGGGGAGAGATATTGAGGATAGGATTCCTGTTCTTCGCTAGGTGCTCGATCTGTGGAAAGAGGAGGCAGGTATTTTGAGTTGTAGCTGTTTGCGTATCGTACACTTGAATTTCGACTCATTTGTGGTACTCCAAAGTCAATCTGACCAGATTTGTCTCGAGGGTATAGCTGCCCAATTGCAGCCTGTTGCTCGCCCTCGAGTTCGTGGTATTTCATCTGCAATTCTGTGTATTGCTCCAGGAGGCGGTAGTGAGTCTTTTTCAGTTGCCGAAGCTTAGCATCGCTCGCCGCCAGCGCCGAGTCAAGCATTTGTTGGACAGATGGGGGAAGCTGTCCTGGCTTACTTGCGCTCTTGTCAGTCGTCTGCAGCCGTGCCTCCAAATCCATAATGCGGCGTTCATAGGCCTTTATGGAGCGTTCGTGCTCTTGCTCACGGCTATTCAGCCGCATGTTTGCGATTTCCAAGTCATTTCGCAAGTCGTTCCGCTCTTGCATGAAGATATGCAGCTCTTTCCTCTGGTCTTCGAAGGCAGCAATCTTCTCCTCTGCCATTTCCAATTCACGTCGAATATCGCTGTAATCTTCAAGCTCATACTCCAGCGCCTTTGTTCGTTGTTGGGCTTTGAGCTGCTCTGCCTCGGCTCTCTCCACGATCTTCTTCAGCTGCTCACAATCTGACTGTGTCTTTTGTAGCTCATGTCGCAGACCACCCTCGTCGTTATGCCAGATCTTTTCACTTTCCTTGTATGATCGCACCTTTGCATTGAGCTCGCCTTCCCATTTCTTTGACTGACTTCTGCTCGTAAGCGTCTCCTTCTTCAGCTGAGCATACAACTCGTTTGCCTTTGCAAGCCGGGCCTTCAAAGTCTTGTTGGTATTGATCAGATTTTGTGTCTCAGCCTCTGCAGTGGCCTCTTTGATGTGCTTGCGTTGAAGCTGGCCAATGTGCACAAGATGTTGCAACTTGAGATAGCGCTCAAAGTTGAGGTCATTACGAAGCAGCATGATCTCTCTTTGCAAAGAGGCCATGGTGTGATTCTGGAACTCGTTTTGACTGAGGTTGTTTTGCCCGGATACTGACTGTATAAAACTATCCAGGTTGGATTGTTCAGCTACGAAGCGATGAGCGGCAGCTGTAGACAGGCTGTGCAAGTCGGTTTTCGGGGCTTCTCTCGCAGGTGGCAGTGTGGGGGAATCCGTCATGTCACGACCTTTGAGCAGGGGGGATGCCATGGATTTGATAGATACTGCTGACTTGACTGACTTGCACCGTGGAGGAATTTCAAAGGCATCAGGGATGTCTGGAATGTCACCTGGAGGGATGTTCATTGTCGACTGCGTGTTGCGTCTGCTCTCGTCTGAGCCGTGAACTGTTGCTCCGTCTTGATCATCCAGCGTGAAGTGTGAAGGGATATCTGGCACGGGTGGTAATGCTGCGCTGGGTGGCGGGCCAGGGTCTTTCAACGTTGATGACACGGCCACACACAAACCCATGCACTCGATAACAACGTCTGCAGGATCGCTCTTCAGCCATTTGTTTTCGCTAAGCTCGTCTTCGGCTGTCGTGGTGAACATATTCGGGTGCAGCAAATGGACTTGGCGATAGGGTTCAGTGCGAGTGTGAATGAGATCTTGGTCCAAATCAAAGTCGTGCGCGCCAGGGAAGTTGAGAGACTTGAGGTACTTCCTGGGCTTTCGCACAAAGCTCATAAAGTTGAGTGGGAATAGACCATAGAGAAATGTGAAGTAGTGCATAAGCGTGGGCGGCGGTGATTCCGGATAATCGACGGATGGCTGCAGCTGCTCCCAAACTTGCTCCGAGTCGTCGTGCTCCTCCTCTTCATCGTCTTCGCTGTCGTCATAATAAGCATCCAGGTCGGCTGCCTTGTCGTTTTCGCTACTCCCTAGCTTGTCCCAGCACAATATCCTACAGTAAACAAGGAACAACTTCACTAGGTGGTGATCCGAAGTCAAGGCTCCGCATATGTGGGGCAAGAACATGATGAGAACGACAAGGGCAAGCTCTACTACAGTGGATGAGTTGTCGGCAAGTAAGCATTTTTCGAGGTGCTGGATGAGCGGAGTTTCGAGAACTAGATGTAGGTGGGGTGGCTGAAGACGAACGAAGGCGCTGAGTAGATTGAGAGCCTGGATGCGGTGTTGCTTGTGCACAAAGAGGTCGTCAAGCCTGAGAAGAAAGGTCTACACAAGTCAGCGTGAATTGCGACTCCGGGCGTATTACGCC